AGTAAAAATGAAAAACAACAATTCATTGCTTTAGCTATTAAACACTGTAGTTAAAAATAATTTCATATTGAGGAATTGCTGAGGAAACTGACTAGTGTATGGGCTGATGGTTAAGGCGCTCCACTCGCAATTTGAAGATCACGAGCTCGAATCCCCATCACTGAACATGCTTGCTGTTTCAGCCGTACGGGCGTTATAATATGACGATCAATCCCACTATTTGTTGGTAGAAGAGTAGCCCAAGAGTTGGCGGCGGATAGTGTTGACTAGTTGCCTTCCTTCTAGTTTATCACTGTTAGATTAGGGACGACTAGCGTAGATACCCCCAGTGTTGCTTTGTGCGAAATTCAAAACCAACCAAAGTTACGATTTTTTCCCGAACCATTCCATATCAATAATTTCTTTGGCATTGATTTGCAAAAATATTTGCGCGACAAGGCATTTTTTTTAAAGAAAATGTGTTCCAATTTTAGCATAGTTTAGTTAAAATATTTTGTTAAAAATAACAAAAGTATGCGAAACTCGTTTGTTTTTAGTTGAAAATATATTTTCAAGGATATCTAATCTATTAAATATTTAAGGGCATGAACTAATATTAAGGTTTACATTACGTAAAGAATAAAAGCCTTAAGGTAGGAGATATTAAGGTTAGTTAAACATTCATAGTTATAAAATAAAGAAAGCACGAAGGTTATGCAAACAAATAGATTATTATTGTAAAATAAAGAAAAATGTTTAGGACATGATGATCCCGAACCTTGCTTGCCCAGTGAATTTATGATTTTAATTTCGCATTCATCAAGATTTGCATGAATATATAATAAAAATATAACGTTATTTAAAGCTATCCTACTCACTTTTACTAAAATAGGCTTGTTTTAATATCTCATAAGGTGAGTTGTAAGGCATCTGTTATTATTATTGCTCATTTGTTTTCTTTCAGGATAAAAAAATATAAAAAATTTAAACAATAGAATCTAGGTCCTTGCTTTTAATTATTGTGCTACAATAAAACGACAGCAATATGATATTCAATGTAGACAATAAATTTAAATGAACAGTTGGTTTCTGTGGAGTCATCCATTTGAATGTAGTTGGAGCAACACAATTAAGAGTTACTAAACTAATCAGGCATTATAACTTTAATCTGGACAACAGGCTGGTTTGATGAGAACCTTTTAAGCTAATAAAGCAGAAGTAATATCAGCTGTAAAAAAAGCAATATAAATGACTTGTTAAAATCATTTTCGTGTTTTCTTGAATACTTTATTTCTGAATTCGTTAACTGAATAAATTTAATAACTATCTTTATTTAACATGTGATTTATTTTTATCACTGCTTAACAGTTGTTTTGGTTTGCCATTTGCTAAGCCAATATAGGTAAGAAAAATGTACACAGAAACTTACTCCACCAAAAAAGTAAATTTGCCTGATCAACAGATTTGCTACAAAAACTTTGATTAATGTAATAATTGTAATTTAGCATAATATCTTGTATTAAGGCTTGACTTCTAGAAACTAGAATTATCCTTTTATTATTACCCTCGCCCCCAGAGGAAGCGATGAGGCGAGGGTATGAGGGATCGTGCGCGAAACTGCTAACACACGGTGGCGGATGCGGTCCGAGCACTGGGTCAGCATGCTTCGCGATTCCACACTTGGTCAGTCAATAAGCCTGTTTGAGGGGTACATTAATTACACTTGTTTTCCTAATATTTATTCTACCAAGTCCACTAAAATTAGCAAAAAATGTGAAAGTAAGAATCTTAGCATGACTAAGATGGAATTTAAATGCAGTGGAGCTAAAAACTATTGGTAGAAAAGCCAATTTGATCGACAGGTGAACAAATTAATATGAGCGATGATACAGTATCAGACCACTGTTTTGTTACATGAAAAGAAGCACACTTTCAATGTGTTGGTGGGAACTATGTTCTAAATTGCTGAATAAATCGGTGTATTTGTAGCTATTGAATGAAAATAATGATAATGGTTAAGTTTTGTTCACATTTAAATATGTGTATTTGGCACTGTCACTGACATTTTATAGGTCTAGGGCTACGATAGTTTCCTTGTGTGTGACGTGTGTCATGTACTGGCTGGTTGAAGCATTTTATCCTTTTCAGTACCAACTCGGTTCTTCTCATGGACTGTGGTGTGATTGTCTTCAACCAGCTGAACACACTTGGAACAACATCTGTTTTTACTTATCTTTGGGTGAAGGTCCAAAAACAAAATAATATATATATATATATTTAATTTTATAATATTTACTGACAATCACTTTCCAGGCCTACTATAGATTTTAACATATGGGTTAAGTATTATTGAAATATTAGTCTCTATCAAGTATCATGCAATACATAAGCCTAGTCATAGGCCTATAAAAATAATTTTGAAGACCAAGCTTAGCTAAATGGGACGTGGTGGTGGTGGGGAGGTAGTGTATTTTGAAAATAAAATTTTAAAACTTGACTCAACATAAAAAAGTTTTAAGAAGGGCAATAATTTTAAATAGACTTATAAATGAAAAGCAGAACTTTTGAAAACTTTATCAAACATAGGCCTATAATAGCTAGTTTCAGATACATAGATGTCAAACAACAACTCGTTTCTTCGGTTTCCACTGGTCCTGTCTGAACGCATGAAGCTACTTTCTAGACAATTCCAGATTTGAAGGCCTCGAATGACCACCTCTGTTAGAACATCCAGGTACACAACAAGTCGTTTGAGCCAGTTTTTGAGCTATTCTATTTATGAAGCAAGCAGAAAGTACGATAACATGGCGAAACAAAGAACATGAAAAATATAAACATCCGGGTATCTGACTATGCACAAGGACCATATCGTTACTGGCATAATTAGCACAATCCCTCATTGGAATCGGGCCCTTGTGTATATGTCTGTCTGTGTTTTCGCGCGTATATCTCAAAAACTAATAGATCGATGTACACGAAAATTTTACATAAGATGAGAAGTCAGTGTGGGACAATCCTCATCCAAATTTGGTTCGGATCCGAATTCTAGATCACTTTGAAGCATTTCTTATAATGGAGAGATAGGGTGTTTTCGCAGTTTTGGTTTAACTCTGTAAAGTGTGATCAGATTTGTACTAATTTCACGAGCACATTAAGGTTGAGACTTCTCATCACACAACAAATAATTATCCGTATGACTGATCATTCTGGATTTGAGAAGGATTTTCTAAGTTTTCGAAGGTGAAATTTGACGTTATCCAATACAAACGCATGCAATCTGGAAAAAGGAGCGGTGGGGCGAGGGTATGCAATTTCTCTGATTGCTCTTGTGTATATAATGGCTCTGAGGGTGATCTTGAAAGTAAATAGTACATCTTGGGTAGACAGAAAATGTGAAACAAGCTGGGAACTACGATAAAATGTAATATACTTTTTCTAATATATATATATGTAACCAAACGAAGAATGAAACTAATAACCTGATAAGCTGATCGGAAATAAAAACAACTGAAAAATATACTACAGTAAAGTGTTTCATTTCACAGAAAACACTTTCTTGTATACAACTGATGATTCTCAGTGTCTCTCTGATAAAATTTCGTAATTCAGCTTCTATTATTATTTTAGAAACGTTTACTAACTTCACTTTCATTTTTTTCCATATCTTATGTCGTTTACAGTGCATACTTCAGACGAATGCTATTGGATATCCCGATTCGCAGCCAACGATTCGCTGTTTGAATCCTTTCACCGAATATGCTTGCACTTTTAACCGTGGGGGCGTTATAATGTTATGGTCAATACCGCTATTTGTTGATAAAATAGTAACTCAAGAGTTGGCGGTGGGTGGTGTTGACTAGCTTCCTTTCCTCTCGTTTAGCACTTCTAAATTAAAATGGGTAGCGTAGATGTTTTTCGCTTGGTGCAAAACTCAACAAACAGACAAACATATTATTTATGTTTCACATATACATGTTTGTTTAACTTTGATCAAACCAAAAATCTAATTTAATTCAGCGCAAAAGGTTATCCAAGGAGGGATCGGATCCCGATCTCTGAAGCTTAACACATATCCACAGGGCCCAGCTAATTAGAAGTTTGTTAGTTAAAGAGTTAAATCCTCTCCCTGCCTTTATAAGGCACATAAGGTTGGTGCTTTCTAGTTTCGGTTCCAATGGCACAAGTTGATAAGAAAGGTGACCCACTCCTCCTGGATGGATGCCAATCCATCGCAGGCTAGCCCCCCAGCTAACAGTTAGATTCTTATCACAGAGCTGGCTATATCGGAACAAGTGGGATAAAGTGTCTTGCCCAAGGCCATAAAAGCATGATGTGAAACCAATGAGCCACGTGGAAGCTGACATGAAATGTTCATCCAGTTCTTTAAATTTTAATTGAAAACCGTTAGGAAGCGACATGTTTAATAAATAGGGACCTAAAGATTTTGGTGCGTATTTCAGATGTACCTTATATATATTGCGGATAGCTTTCAAAGAAACTTAAGGGTTATTAAGGCCACAGTAAGTATAGTATTTTTCAAAAGTATCTGCAGTCTGTAGGATTTGGGGTAATGTATTATAGTAATTTTATCCTTAACTTTACAAATATTTTAATACTGATCTTAAGTTAAAGACTTTTTTAATTATGTTTTGATTTCAAGCGTTAGTGATCAGATAACTTATTTTCTAACCTGAGTTTTTTTAAAGAAATAACAAATTTAGAACATATAAAATAATAAAAAAATGATTTAAAAATATAATTTGCATATTTTATATCTCTTTACACTTAGATGTAATGTTTAGTTGTTCTCTATCTTTTTACAGTTTTTATATTGATAAGTAGTCAGTGATGCTACGAAATCGGTTAAATAAAAAGTAGTTTGGTAAAGAAAGAACATTTGGTTAAAGGAAAGGATTCAAGTTTTTCACATATACATATATATACACATATATATACACATATATATAGACAAGGCTTTATCTTTATTATGGTGAATGTATTTCTCTCTTCCCGAAGCTCAGAGTTTCCTCAGCTATGTGCTTCTGTGTACGGTGTTCACCACGTGGTTGGCATGTCGTTCAGGAGACCAAGGACTGATTCCTGTTTTACGCAGTCGGGGATGGAAGTACTTTTTGGTAGCAGTGGCCGACGTGGAAGCTAATTTTCTGTTAGTTAAGGCTTATCAATACACTACTCTAACAAGTATCCAGGTAAGTAGACTCCTGAGCACTGGCCGATCTCGATTAAAATATCTACAGAGAGATGTAAAATCAACCAAACTTTTTCTAATGACACAGTTTGGGTTACGAACGGTTGCCAATAAGAGTTATTTAACATTCGAGTTCAAAGCTACTTGATTAGCAAATAGATCAGTCTGAGAAACAAATAATGGAAAAGAAGAAAATTTTGCAGAGAATTTTTGATTATATTTGGAGATAAAAGGAATGTTGCTAATAAAAAAAAAAGACATTTTTGACATTATCAATATACAGGTAGTTAGGGCGCTCGACTCGCAATCTGAGGGTCGCAGGTTCGAATCCCGTCACATCAAACATGGGAGTGTAATAATGTGACGGTCAATACTATTTATTGGTAAAAGAGTAGCCCAAGAGTTGGCGGTGGGTGATGATGACTAACTGCCTTCCCTCCAGTCTTACACTGCTAACTTAGGGACGGCTAGCGCAGACAGCCTTCGTGTACCTTTGTGCGAAATTCACAACAAACAAATAAACATTATCCATCTATATACATATATTAGTTTTAGCTAGCATGTTTATCCAATACCTGCCTTTGTATTGTATTATCTGTCTATCTTTATATTTATCTCTGCGTACATCTAACTCTAGCTGTTCTAAAACGTACATTTGCATATGTAGATTTGTCTGGGTATCTATTAACCTACCTATCTGTCTTTATTCTTGCCTATATGTTAATCCGTTATCATATTTACTTACTTATAGATCCATTTTTGTATATTATGTGTTTACTTGTCATTCGATGTAGCTATTTTTATCAATATATCTGTAAGGTCCGTGTGTTTATAAATATGCTTGTCTATCAACCTGTCTATACACTTAGCTGTATTTGTATTTGTCTGTTACAACGCTTTCAGTGTGATTATAAGTTTTAAAATATAAAAAAAGTCTCAAAATAATATTATGACGCGCAAAAACTACAGAGCACAAGCTTCGAAGTCGAAATTAAATACATAGACAGGAATAATGTATGCACAATTATTGATAGCTAATTCTAAAGAGATGGCTCCTAGCGGATCAGCGGTAAGTTTGAGGAAAAATTCAATCCCTACGTAGATAACTCAATGCGCTTTGTGCTGAAACAAAATAAGCAAATTAGATTTTTCGTTTGATCAAATTACAAACAAATTAGATTTTTCGTTTGATCAAATTACAAACAAATTAGAGTTTTGGCTTGATTAAATTTAAAATCTCTTCATTAAGGATGCAGAAAAGAATATGTTTCCCTTATAAAACCAGTGTAAAATGTGTATCCTTAAACACTGTACCTATAACGGATGGTTTTTAAAATGTTCTCGTTGAATAATTTATATTATAGGATTATTTATTATGGTTATCTGCATCGTTCAAAACTGTACAGAAAGTGTCAATAGTTCCAAACGAAAACAGAGTCTTCGTTCGTTTATTGCCTGAAGTTAGGGTTTTACACCTTCATAAGGGTTATGTCTGCTAAACTGTTAGGCTTTGTCAGTAGCTCTAATCTTTAGTGAAGGTGTAAAACCGAAACATCAGTCAATAAGTAAAAGAAGGCCCTGTTGTTTTCTTTTGAAACTAATGTTTGAAAATAATCCAGTCCACACTATGTACTTTTAAAAAAGAAAATATTTTCTTAAATCTTTTCCAACGGTATAGATCATTACTCTTTACTAGATTTAATAGTGTCTTCAATATTCATCATGTTTAATAATATAACAATAATCCTTACTCTACTTAGCAGTAACTTGATCCTACCTGTTACTTTTCTTAATTATTCCTTTAATCCTTTGCCATGTAAGATAATACTATGCGTTTCTATATTTTACTTCCCCATAAGTTATTTACGTTAATATTTCTATGGGAAATAATTGTTTCGTTTCTATGATTAAATATAGGGTTGTAAATGGACATATCACTTGATCGGCTAATGATCACACAGCAGACTAAGCTGTCTCGACTTTACATGGAGAATAAAATATTTACATTTTTGGCTTCCCCACTTTGTCTATCAAAAGCTTGGTGTTTGAATGGAATGTCAGCTTTCATCATTGTACCCTTCCTTTAGTTAACTTTAGAATACTACTTTTATGACTATTTTACAATAGAATAACATTTTATGATTGGAAATTCTGGTTCTATTTGATTTGCCGATGAGGAAACCAGTAACGTAGAGATTTTATTATCCATGTAAAGTCGAGACAGCTTAGTCTGCTATGTGATCATTAGCCGGATCAAGTGATAAACCCACTTTAATTCCTATCTTGTTTGGTTCATTTTTTCAAGTTCAGTAGCCAGTCCTACGTAGCTTTTTTATTTAGCGATAAATGTTTTCCCTAATACTTGCTAGTTTAACTTTTTATAAGATGGCTGGCGTACATGGGTTACAAGGTTATATAATGTATTCTAAAGCTTTATACATTTTGCATAGAAGAATAAAGAATAGGTAGTGAAAGATTGTGAAGACTGTTTTGGTCTATCGAATGATGGTAAAATTATAGTTACTGCTTGAGCTTTAGGACGCTCTGCATAGCTGAAAAGCGGCATATACATCGGAGATAGAACGACTATCCCTGGTAGCTTTTCATATCTAGCTTCTAATGCCCTATATGTCTATTGATTTTCTTAGTCCTTCACTACATACATAATATAAGGGTCGGCTCTATAAAGACACCGATTATATAGTGTACAAAGCATCGAGTGTTATACATGTTACATTCATCTAATGTTCATAGAGTATTGGCTGGTAATTCTTTTTGATCCTGTACGTAAGCTTTTATAATGAACACCAGATTTCTGTAAGAAAGCTAACTCCAAGGGGTAATAACATCGTTTACATTAGAATAATGGTTTTATTTTTGATTTTTTGCAAAGAATGATAATAAAATAGGTAGTCAAAAATCATGAAGACTGTTTTGCTCTATTAAATGATGATAAAAGTATAGTTACTGCCACAACTAGGTAGGCGCTAAGCTTGTTGAAGAAAGATGGTGGCGAACGAAAATAAGAAATCTAGGTTTTCTTGTATTGTTTTAATACGGGTGTCCATGCAAAATCCCTACATAGAGAATGCTAGCTCACTCTTCGATAAGATATTACTCTATAGCAGACTATAACGATATACATATAACATAATGTATGTATCTCAATTACTATATTGCTTGTGATAAATAATCTATACATTTTGTCTTCTATCCAATAATTTTAATGATGAGAATGTCGTAATATAAATAATTCAGCCAATCAGAAAGAATCCCATATAGAGGTAACTGATCATTACGACGTCACTAATAAACTGAAAATATTACATTTTATCGAGAAAAACAACAACAAAACATTCTAGACATGTTGTTATTTAAACACTAAATTTTGCATTTTTTTCTATGAGGCTGTTCCATGAATGTTACAGAAAGCTGTATTAAATAGCTTCAGTTCTCCATTGTAGAAGTTATAGTTCAAAGGAAAGAAAAACATTATTTTTAGTGCTTGAAGTAAATTATTACCGGGGCTGAGCGTGGCCTAGCGGTTAATGTGCTGGTTTGTGAATTCGAGGATCCATGGTTCACGTTCCGTTGTCACAAAATCACACCCCGCACTTTGGGGATGTGTGTGTGCGCTAAAAGGGTGAAGGGCAGATACCACTATTCGAAGAGTTGACGATGGGTGCCTGTTAACTAGATGTTTTTCCTTTAGTTTACGAGTTGAAAATTAGGGACGGCTAGTGCAGATAACCTTTGAATAGCTTTAACCGAATATCCGATAATCTTCGAAACAAACAAACAATTACTACCAAAATTATCCAAACAATTATTTAACAACCAAAACAGTTATATTTTTATGTCAATATCCTGGTGAAATATGAGTACGGAACAGCATTCAGGGTGTAACGAACGCAGCATAATTTAATTGATATCTTCACTGATATGCCCAGGGCAGAAACGTTTATACGAAAACATTCTTATAACTTTCTACATATTTTTCTATAAATAACTAGCACATTATAATGTGCTTGTTTTACAGATAAGGCTAGTGAACTTACATTCTGTATACTACATTGTAACATACATTCTGTATGGCTAAGTCTATCATCCTGTACACCTCGTAAAGATACCATTGACATCTAGGTCTTCTAAATCAAGCTTATCATCATATATTATTGGAAACAAATACCCATTGTTTCTCTGGCTTTAGTATCCCATGAAAACATGTATATCTATGCATAACGTTTTGTCCACATTAGAGAACTTGTTTTCATATCGTAGTATTCTGTATGATTAAACCAATAAGAATTATATATTATATGAGTGAAATAGCACACCTTTAATGTCGACCATATTATCTGGAAAACCGTGTATAGTTGAGCCTAATACTCAATACTTGTTATATATATATCCTAATTCTACATAATGCGTAAGTAAGCATCCTGATGTTGTATAATAAAAACCTTAACCTGAAAATTGTGTATAGTTGAAATAAGCATATTGTAAATGACGTATAGTTAAATCTAATATCCTACATAACATATATAAGCTAAGCTTGATATCCTAGAATCCTTGTATCTTTAAACCTAGTACTTAGTATCCTTGGTACAAATAAGCGTTGTTTAGAAACTAATTATTACAAATAAATAAAAATTATTATACTCAAAGGCTTTCATTTCAATATATTTCAGTGTTAAAATATGAGATATTCTCTACTTTGGCATTTAAAATGTGCATTTTGGGAGAAATGAGAAGCTCCTTGTTAATTACTTTGAGCATTTTTAGAATTTAAAGCATATAAGGTATATTATAAGACATATAATTATGTTTACTTAATTCACTAGTTCAATGTAGTTGTCTCCCGTTCTTTTTCGAAAGGTAATAATAGGCTTTTGGACTTACCTATGTCCCCCGGTTGGTGAGCGGTAAGTTTCCGGATTTACGATCCTAAAGTCCGTGGTTCGATTCTACGTGATGCCTAGAGTGCAGACAGACAGATCA